ATTTCAGACAGTATGAAGAAAAGAATGTAAAATATTTCTAATAATTTTTATATTGATTGTGTGTTGACACGATGATATCGTGGATATACTGTTAAATAAAATACATTATAAAACATCTGTTTTTTAAAAACTTCTTAAACTGTGGCTACTAGAAAATTGTGAATTACATATGTGGTTTACATTGTATTTCTATTAGACACCACTGCTGTAGAGACCAGAGTGTGCCACCCACAATGGGCGCTTAAGATCCCCTCAAAAATAGACTGATCTTTTCCATGATCCAAAATATGGTTGGGGATCAGCAAGGGGAATCTTTTCTTTAAATGCAGGGACTTGTCTTAACTTAGGGATTAAGTTAACAGAGCCTCCCTGCTGGGAAGTACTTCTGCTCAATGGATAAGATACAGCTTTTAAGAAAGTCCAATATATTAAAGTCAAACTTAAAAAAAAAGCTCTCCGAAGAGATTTCAGCATCCTGGCATGCTTTCATATACCAAACTATTGCCTTCTATTAAATGTTAATGATCTTTAAGAGCAGGGGCTGTGGGTTCACTTCTTTTATTTCTCTCCTCAGCACCTGGTGCATTGCTTTGTCTGGAAGTTGTTTACCACCTGGCTGACTGTGGATCCCACTGTTAGGGGTTGGTAGGGGACTGAGTTTTCTCTGTTACCTTTTAAAGCCCTGCATCACTGAATACTTTAAATTCCCCTTGCTGCCTGAATGAAGATGTATGTACCCTTTTGATTTCTATATGCTCAAACACCAAAACAAAACAAAGAAGCTGCCTATCTTATATTTGATTGAGGTTTATTCTTTCCATAAGGAGTTTAGCATTAGGCAAATGGGGGGCTGGAGAGGTAGTGAGAGAACAAACTTAAAAGAATGAAAGAAACAAATTCATTGATTCCATCCATGCTCAATACACCTGACTATTATCAATCTGCAAGAAACGGATGTTGCATTTGGACAGAGACCAGCAGGAAGATGTCTAATAATAACCTTGGGCAGATTTCCAGTTGACCAGAGTAAATGCCCAAGGAAGCTCATGTTTGTTTATTTTCACCAATACAGCACATTAAGAGTGTCTCACTTTAAAAATGTATGCTGCTCAGAGTGTCTAAATAAATGGTGACACTAGTAAAGGAAGCCACTGATGTCCCTGGAAATCTGGTCATCTTTTTGGGCACTAGCAGATGAGTGTCCTACCTCTCAACTGACGTAATGCACCTTCTGCAAGACAGCAGTCTCTTGGCAGTGCCCCACTTTGAAGTAAAGCTCGAAATGAACTCCTGCTAACGTGGCATATCGAACCAGCCCTTTTTTTATTTCCAAGGCCTTCTCAGTTGATTTGTGGTTCATCCATCTTCATGGAAGTGACTACTGCAGGCTAGAATTACAGCTTCCTTCTGACAGCAGAATGCACCCCTAGAAGAATCTGACCAAGGTCATGGACCAAATCCTCAAGCAAACAGCTTTCAGGGTGGCTGAGACTTGTTAGAAATGGTTTATGGAGCACCTGCTGGGTTCAGAGGATTTGCCTAAGGATATCTGAGGACTGGGGAGATATGAGGACACAGTCCTTGCCTACAAGGAGTCCTGATCCCTCAGGAGTTACATTTCCAAGGAGGGCTGTTACATCATATCACCCAGGACCACTCAGCTTCTCTTTTTGACAGTCAAGCTTATGAGTCAGCTCGCATCATATTAAAGCAGGAAAATAATAAAGAACGGAAAACAAGTCAAGGGTCAAGAATAAACATTACAACAATGAAAAGAAGAGTTCTCAGAAACATCTCAAACCAGAACATCCTTGGTAAGGTGATAAGGTATGGGCTCTATCGTAAAACCTAGGTAATTTTCTGTTATTTCTTTTAAAATTTCTTTATCAGTATTATTTTATTACATTTATTAATATAAAAAATAATATAAAATCTCCTTTCTTATATTTTCTTCCAATGAAGAATAAAGCAGGTAGAAAAACTACATGTATTCCTTTCAGAACAATTTCCATACTGCCATTTGCAACAAGATGGATGGGCCTAGAGAGAATTATATTAAGTGAAACGAGTCAGGCACAGAAAGAGAAATATCACAGGTTCTGTCTTATTTGTGGGAGCTAAAAATAAATAAATAAATACACAAATACCCTGGGGGGGGGGAAGAAGACACAACAATTACAATTCCTTGAAGTTGACACGACAAGCAAACAGAAAGGACATTGTTGGGAGGGAGGGGGGAGAGGGAGGAGGGAGGGAGGTTTCGGTAATGGGCCACAATAATCAACCACATTGTATATTGACAAAATAAAATAAAATTTTAAAAAAGAAATATGATTTAATCATATTCTCAATATCATCATCAATTTGCTACTTACAGGGATCTAAAAATATAGACTGCTTTAAAGTCCTGTTTATTCAGATATGTTTGCTTCCCACTTTGTTTCAACAACTGGGAGGGGAGGAGCCTGCCCTCTGAAGGGGAGTTTAAGTGTGGAGTTTCATTCCTAAGCAGGCCCCTCTCAAATCTTTCATGTACTTTCCAAAGTTACTTAAGCAACTTAGTAGCCACCCCCGTTGATGGCTGTGGCATCAGTGACCCACATGTGATTTGGGGTGATATGCTTGGGTGCTGTGAGAAAAACGAAATTTATATAATTTGAAATATTAAGATATTATCAACACTACAAGATCAATAGAAACTACTAAAAACCATAAAAAGAAATGCTTATTCCACATTTTCACTTGCCACCACTGACGATCTTCATCAATGAACTTTGTTATTAAGTAGCTAACATGTGGCTTAAAGTAAAATCATTAGCAAAGGAAAGTTGGGCTATAAAGTGTACATCTAAATTTAGAATATAATCCTACAGTGATCAAAGTTTGCTGATAAGAGAAAAGGCACCTCAAAAAATTTAATAGTAGTTTACAAATTGGTTGCAAGCTCCTATTCAACAGAGCCTATTTTCAGAAGCTCATGATAATAATGGACAACAAGGAAAATTTTAGGAAAGGTAGACCTAAGCAATTGCTTCAACAGCTCAACTTGTTCGTCCCTATCATACCTGCACACGTTATGATACACACACACACACACACACACACACACACACACACTTTAAACCAGAGCTGCCAAAAAGATGGGAAGGAAACGAATCTCACTTAAGACTGTGTTCTAGGGGAAAGATCTTCCACTTGTCAGGTGTAGAGCTCTGGGTTCAAATCCCAGCCCTGCCACTTCAAAGCAATGTGACCCTTGGGGAAGTTGCTTACCCTCTCTGAACCTCTGTTCCTTCATTTCTGAAATGGGTGGAAGGTGAGGGCCTGACATTGCCAGCTTTGCATGGTTCTGGTAAGTTACCACCTGACACAAGTGAAAGAAGAAAGTAACCTGAACTTTCTTCCTTCCCTTGATTTCCTCTGCCCACCTCTCTCAGGCAGAAGCAACCAAGGAGCAGAATAGCTAAAAGGTGAAAGGAAAGGAAAAGAAGTAGGCACAAGAGACTGCAATGATACACAAACTGGAGCCAGGTGCCTCCCTTCTCACCCCTGACCTTTACCTCTGTCAGGAAGGTGTGCGATGCAAATTTGAACAATGAGTTTATTTAAGAAATATATTTTGGGTGATCTTGTAACACACTTTTAGTGGTCATTTTTTTTTAAGTGAGTTGTTTAGTGGCTCAAAGGAGTCCCTTAGTAACACACTTATTGGGATGGTTTGTATCCCATGAGAACATAGATACTACACCGTTTATGTCATTTAGTAGGAAGCTAAAATGCTAGGGTGCAGTTTAATATTAAACTACCCCAAGAAAATATATTTAAAAACAAAGAAACATAGTGAACAGAAGCCCACAGGGCTCTAATATAACTTCCTTTGTTTTCATGCTTTTCAGGAAGTTGTTCTAAGCCTGCCTTTAAACCCTTATTAAACCTTATTAAGAAATAACAGCTCCATGATGGTTGGCCTTGGAATCTGTGAGCACTCATTTTGGGAGTTCACAGAAAATGCTACATCAAAAATCCTTAGAAAACCTCTTCCCGGTGTCAAACTCCACAGGCTAGCCAAAATATCGCAACTTGGAATCACTAGAGAAACGATAGCTCTAACTAGTGTGTCTCTTGGATTTGGGGGTTCAAAGAGGTCTCCCCAAGTTCCACAAAACTTCAGGCCACAGAAAACCCACCACCCATTTGGTGTTTTTGATTCCTTGAGGACACCTGCTAAGGTGGTTGAGAACGAACTTCCACATCTACCTAAGGTATCATAGCCAGTGCAGAGACTAATCAAATTTGGGATACCAGTTACTGTGATGGAAGGAAGCTCTGAGTGACCAGTTTTCACACTTTCATTTTTAAAGGCATGTAGCCCCTTTCTAAATAAATGCAGCTTCTCCAGGTTTCCACTACCTGAAGACAAACCCTCACAGCACACTCTGGAAATGTTTCCAATTCATTTTAAGTACACATTATTTCTAAATACATCATTCAGGGACTCATACATTTATTCATTTTTAAATTTTCAAACGAATGGGGAAGTTTCGCTTCCATGTCGTTTTCATTTTTCCAAGATTGGCATTAGGCACAAAAATCAGTTGAGGACTGAATCATTCCTTAGCTAGAATTTAGAACTTAACAAGGGACTCTCGTCCCAAGCTTTGTAAAGAGAATACCATTTTAAAATTGCACTATAGGATCTTTACCTTCAGACAAGAATACACCTGAAAGGAAAAAAGCCACCCCCTCCTCCCAAAGCACAAAAACACAGCATATCCCAAGCAGCCCGCTTCCTACTCAGCCAATACAATACTGCTTTGTAAGCTGAGAGCAGCGCCCGGTATAGAAGCGAAGTATAAACAGCTGAGAAGGATTAGGCGGCAGCTCCGTTCTCATTTACATGAAAATCCTCTAAGCATCGTTTTCCTCTCTGGCTGCGGGCGCATAAGGAACTCTTTTATGCCATAGCAACGCATACACTTGCATCCTTTGTTTTTACTTACCAGTCGAGGCTGTGGGCATGTGTGCTCTATTTCCTCCATGGTTTCTGAGGGAGGCTCATTGGAAAGGGATTTTGGGATACCTGTTTCTGACTCAGCATCAGTGGTAAGTACTGGCATGGCCAGTGAGTGCTCCCTCCAGCACTACACCTTCTGTGAGTCTCCTCCCAGGCAGAGAATGTTTTCTTTGTCACGTATTTTTCTCTTCCCTACCCATCCCCCTTCTTCTTCCCTTCTTTCTGTCTTCCCCGGGGGAAGTAATGAGGTTGCCCGCCCTCACCCCCCCACCCCACCCCCCCGTTTCTTTCCCCGGAAAGCCAAGAGGCAAGGCCTCAGTTTATCACTATAACAACCAGACGACACTGGCGAGGTTGGTGAGGGATACAGTAGCCTCATTTGCATGGAGCGCGCTGGTTGGCTACTGTCATCATAGTACCACTCCGCCGGGGAGCGGCCGGGCCCCATTGGCTGGCCGGCCCTACCCACGGGGCCCGAACTTGCTGCTTTTGTTTTTTTTCTGTTTAATTCAGTTACAAAAGGTTTCGGTCCGTTCTGGGCATGGGACCCGGGCTGCACTACTCAGATAAGATAAAACCGTTTCCTGAGAAACCCAGGACGCCTCGAGAAAGAACATAGTAGACCTCCACTAAAAAAGGACCTGGCATGAGTGTATGATGTGCTGTAGTCAGAATATTTGCCAAATAGGAGTCACTCTGAAGACAAAACCACTTTTGAGCCCATACTCACTGGGCCAATTGCTAGCTGGTCTCCGAGGGCCTCTCTGGGCATTCACTGTGGTCACCTGAGTGTTCATTCCCTGTACTGCATGCAACAAGACCACTGGAAGATCCCCTGAGGGCTAGAGCCTACCCCTATGTCTGCCCTAGGAGGGACTTTAAAGGAGGTAGATTGTCTTTGACAGCCTGCCTCCCACCTCTGGCTGCCCTCCCCAGTTGCTTCCTCCGACAGCCACTCTTCCTCCTCCCCAGCTATTTCGAGTTTCCTCAAGAAAGTCTTGCTGTTGTTTGCCCTTCAATACACTGTTCCATGAGCTGATCTATTATTCCTCTGCTCCCATTTTACTAGTCTTGGGTGCCATTTCCTAAGCACCTTGCTTTCAGCCACATGCTCATGGCAATCAGAGAAATATCCCAGATGGAATGTTAAAGATGATATGCCTTAATGTCTAAATTGTCCAGGAACATAAACATTTTAAGAAGAATATTCTGAAGACACACACTCAAAGAACTTACAAAGGTATTCGTTCTAGTGAAATATCACACGTTCAATATAAATAAAAATTATGATAATCATTAGGATTTATTAAGCACAGGCACAGTGCTAAGTACTTTACCTAGATCTTGTTTAATCTTCATAAGAACCCAAAGAGGTAGATCCTATTATCATCCCCATTTTACAGGTGAAGAAATTGCAACTTAGAGTATAATTGCTCAGTCTCAAAGCTCATAAGTCATGGAGCTGGGACTTGAGGGATTTTGGCAGGGAGCAGGGATGCAGCAGGTGTAGTAGAAAAAGAACCTAGGTAGAAGTCCTCTTAAGACAAGTCTCTGGGCTTCTAATCTTTCATTTTTATGTATAGCAGTGGGTTTCATCCAAGCATGGCCCTGGACCAGCAGCACCAACATCAGCATCACCAGGGAACTGTTAGAAATGAAAATTATTGCCCCCATGTCAGACCCCAAATCTGATTCAGTAGGTTTAGGAGTAGGGCCGGAATTTGTATTTCTAACAAGTTTCTAGGCGATGCAAATGCTGCAGGTCTGGGGACCATACTTTGAGAACCAGTAATCCAGAGGATGGGATAAAAAATAGCAGTCCTGCCTCCCTTACAGAATTGTGAGAGATCAAATGAGGTATCACGTGGATGCACTTTGTGTATTAGAATGTGACATGCTAATGTAAGGGGACATTATTTTTATTATTACTCCTCAAATAAGCAAAGAGGGCTCGCCCTAAGGGAAAAAGAAAATGGATTCTTCAGCAGAGAAGCACACAGTTTGACAGTTATAGATCCTGCCACATTAAGTCAGAGTGACATCACTTGACAGCAGTATTACCTATGCGCAAGAGAACTCCAGTGATGCAAGAATTCTAGTGATGCTTGGGGGATCTGAAAAGGGGCCAGTTCCTTACTACCCTATCAGCCCTCCCTGGAGCACAAAACACCTCAAACTGCAGGTTTAGCTCTACCAAGCCTGTCACCTGAAAGACCCAAGCCCTGCATTAGATTTAAGATTCTCTTTCCCACCCATGCTGGGTGATGCAAGAATGAGATTTTTATTCTAATCTCAATATTTTCTTTGCCTTAGAGCAGTGATTTTTTTTTTTTTTGTCTTTTTTTGGTGACCGGTAAGGGAATTGCAACCCTTGGCTTGGTGTCGTCTGCACCGCGCTCAGCCAGTGAGCGCACCGGCCATCCCTATATAGGATCCGAACCCGCGGCGGGAGCACTGCTGCGCTCCCAAGCGCCGCACTCTCCCGAGTGCGCCATGGGGCCGGCCCAGAGCAGTGATTTTTGAAGAGTGGTCCTCCAGGGAGCAGCAGCAGCAGCTCTGGCAGCTTGTCAGAAATTCTAGACTCTGGGCTGGCCGGTTAGCTTAGTTGGTTAAAACATGGTGCTGATAACACCAAGATCAAGGGTTCGGATCCCCTTACTGGCCAAAAGAAAAAAACCAAATTCTAGATTCTCACCCCAGACCAGGTGAATCAGAAACTGAGGTGGTAGAGCCCAGGAATCTGTGTTTTAACAAAACTTCCTGGTTTTGGAGGCATTCTGACACATGCTAAAGTTTGAGAACCACTGCCTTAGAGTCACATGTTCACCTTGGAAAGCACCCAACAACCCCCACAATATTCTGGGCTACTGAGCTGCCAATTTGGTTTCTAATTGATCCTCCAATTCCCTTTCTAGAATGGGAGGCTCACCTGTTCACCTGCTTATTTAGCAGTTCTGATGTCTAGCTGCATCCATGTGAACCTCTCTTGTCCAAGAGCCTGGACCATGCCCTTATACCCTCCAGGCTTTTCTGTCTCAAAGTGGGCGATTCCCCCTTCCTCCTGTCCTCATCCTCCCCTGTCCCATCAAACCAAGATTGCTGCCTCTGCCAAGGATGAGTATCTTCATAGTGCCGCCCACATCAAACCCTTAGCTATCTATGGGAACACAGGGGCCTGTTTAGTACAGGGAGTGCACAGAGGGCAAAAGCCTTGACAGAGGGCAAAAGTAGGGAACACAGATAATTTTCTGTCCTGTTCACACACTCCTTTCTGTACTTCTTTTGATACTGTATTCAGCTTATCACATGGCCAAAGTCTTGATACTACAATAAAAGACTAGACAAGCCTGAGCTCGGGGCTGCACTGACTTTCTCCTTTCTTGTGGGAGTTAGTTTGATGTAGTCCCTCTGGGCCTCTCATTGCTTTCAAGTATTTGGGCTTTGAATAATCCTTTCATCCCCGTCACTGAGAGGATAGTGACAGCTATCAGTGCCACTTTGTGCTAAATCCAAGTCACACTTGACACTTATTCATCCCAAGTCCTTGAACCTGCAATTTAGACTTCTGTCTAACTGCCCTTAGGGTTAGCTGTATAGCAAATTCCATTCCCACTAATCCTACTCCAGCCTAGTCTTGGCTTCCTCCTGTCCCTCTCCCTGCAGCCCCGTGGTTGAATCCCAGCATGTCTTGCAGTCCCAATGGCAGAAATGGACTCTTTTAGGCATGACTCTGAGAGGGGTCCTTACTAGATCCACCCATTTCATAGACCAGTCTTGGCTGCTACTACAACCTGATATGGAAACTACTTGATAATACTTGGATGGGCTATTTTAAAATGAGAGTGTTGTAATGTTATCAGGACGATTAGCTAAGAATGACTAATTAATTCCACACTATGGAATTAAATATTCCATAACCCTCTAGGGGTTATGGGGAGGAGACTATAAAGGGATAGCAGAGAGTTTATTGGGGTGATGGAATTGTTCTGTATCCTGATTATGGTAGTGGTTACACAAAATCTGTGAATCTGTTAACATCATTAAAACTCCATGGAGGACGTTTGTCAGTATATGCTAACAGCATTTAGAATTGTTCATACCCTTTGACCCAGGGATTCTACTTGGGAATTTATCCCAAAAGAAATAACCAGAGAAGGACACAAATAATTATGTACAAAGATGCTTCATGCAGAATTATTTACAAAAGGCAAAAAAGATACAACTTATAGCAATAGCAGGAATGGTTAAAAAAATACATCCATAATATAATATTATACATGCATTAAGAGTCAAGTTTTTAAATAAATTCTAATGTTAAATAACATGTTAACATTATAATGTCAGGTGAGAGAAGCAGGTTACAAAATATATGATCCCAATTGTGTGATATACGCATGCATAGAAAACAAACTGGAGGGAAATATGCCAAGATGCTAACAGTGAAATCTTTACACTGTGGGATCGTAGGTTATTTTTGTTTTCTTTTTTATATTTCTTCTCTCTATAACAAGTATCCAAAAATGAGCCTACATTACTCTTATAATCAGGAAAAAAAAGATATTAGCCTCTTCCCCAAAGGCATCAAGGGCTGGGTATTAGGGTGGGGTGAGGCAGGAGTGCTTAGCACATGAGCAAATAGAAAGGTGCATGGATCTCAGTGAGAGGAAACAAGAAAGCTCAAGTGAGGAACAAAGCTGGAGCAGATTCCTTTCTCCAATTAGTGGAGGCAGAGGAAATATGTTGGAGGAATGCTGTTCAGAAAATCCCCAGGGAATGTTTGGGGACAGAGCTTCTGAGTCACCTCTCCAAGCAGGGCATGCCTTCTGTGAGATTTTTTAGGTCAGTGCTGCCCCTGACAAGCACCATCATTATTATATCTGCCATTTATTGAGTACCTCCTACATTCCTAACACTATGCTAGGTACTTATCCCGGACTCCCTGTAACCCCACAACACCTAATCAGATAGGAATAGTTGCCCCACTTTGCAGAGAAGTCATAGAGACAAATAACATCATTCTTTCTACAAGCGGTCTTCACATCAACAACATCAAATTGTTGAAAACACCATTCCCAATGATCTGCAGGGCAGAACGCAATCTCTTTAGAGCAGATGCTGTCTGAAGTCTAGCTGAATCCCCTCAGGCCTTACCTTTGTAGTCAACACCTGGCCCACTGCCACTGCCAGCATCTGCATCTCTCTGCCTGAGGGTTTTCTCTGGCCATCAGAAACCCCTGCCCTCCCACCACTACCTCTGAGCAGAGCTGAAGGGCCAGAAAATTAACAACCCACACTCCAGCAGCTCTCAACTTATGACTGATCAGAGTCAGTCATTGAATACCCCAGTTCCCTCAGCCCTCAAGTGGGATAACTCTAAATTGCATGTTCTATGCTGGCTCCCAGAGTTACCCGGTGGGATCAAGTTCCAATTGTCACAGTGGTAGCTTGATTGACAGTGCACCGTTTATTGGTTGCCTTCCTTTCCTTGTTTCACTTGCCCACAGGAGTGTGGGTGTGTCCTGCGATCACCTCCCAAATGAACTACTTGAACTTGAATCCTCCTCTCAGGGTCTGCTTCGGGGGATCTTGAACTAAGACACCATTCCAGTGCCTATCATAAAGTTCCAATACGATGTTTCTTACGCAAAATACCTTTCGGAAAATGTGGTATATCTACACAATGGAATACTACTCAGCTATAAAAACGAATGAAATACTGCCATTTGCAACAACATGGATGGACCTTGAGAGAATAATATTGAGTGAAACGAGTCAGGCAGAGAAAAAGAAATACCACATGTTCTCACTCATGGGTGGGAGCTAAAAAAATGGTTTGGAGGTTCCTCAAACAGCTGAAGATAGATTTACCATATGATCCAGCTATCCCACTACTGGGAATGTACTCAAAGGAATGGAAATCATCAAGTTGAAGGTATACCTGTTTCCCAATGTTCATTGCAGCACTCTTCACAATAGCCAAGAGCTGGAATCAGCCCAAATGTCCATCATCGGATGAGTGGATATGGAAAATGTGGTATATCTACACAATGGAATACTACTCAGCTATAAAAACGAATGAAATACTGCCATTTGCAACAACATGGATGGACCTTGAGAGAATAATATTGAGTGAAACGAGTCAGGCAGAGAAAAAGAAATTCCACATGTTCTCACTCATTGGTGGGAGCTAAAAAAACAAACAAATTAATTCACCCACATACACACACACAAAAAAACCAGGGGTGGGGGTGGGGAAGAAGATATAACAACTATACTTTTATGAAGTTGTTACAACAAGCAAACGGAAAGGACATTCTTGGGGGGGAGGGGAGAGAGGGAGGAGGGAGGGAGGTGTCGGTGATGAGCCATAATAATCATATACATTGTATATTGACAAAATAAAAATTTAACGAAAAAAAAAATACCTTTCATAACCTCATCACATGCGGATAAAAAATGAATCATAGCATCATAAATAAATATCTTTTAGCTTATTTTTTTAAGTAGACATTACTTTTAAGCTTTCCCTTCTTTAAAAATACCTTTCCCTTCTATTTTCCAGTTTTTAATCTAGTCATGCTGCTGGAAATTTTATTTCCATTGTATAAAAATGTTAGGACGACCCTACTAAAAATTTAAGATTATTTTGCCAAAATTTGTATGCCACTGCAGATATTACACTGCTCATAATATTTATCAAGAAGGTCACATGTAAAACCTTCATTCCAAATCCTTCCCCAATACCATCGCTCCTGACTCCACTATTCCATGTTTCCTTTTTTATTCATTTTTTTTCTGCTTCAGATTTACCAAAAAAGGAATTTATTACAAAGAAGGAAGGGAGATGGAAAACACAGGGTAAAGTTGACAGAAGAATTTAAGATTTCCTGGAAACTATTATTACCTCCTATGAAACATCATTACTTTTATGTCTCTATTTTGAGCCACTTCCCCAGTAGTCCGCATGTGGCTTAAGATTTGGCCCTAAAACCTGACATAGTCCAGAAGAAAACTCCAACATACTAAGTGATATAGTTTGAATATGTTTGTCCCCCACAAAGCTTATGTTGAAATCTGATCCTCTATGTGGCAGTGTTGGGAGGTGTTTGGGTCATGGAAGTAGATCCTTCATGAATAGATTAATGCCTTCCGGCCAGGGGCAGGAAAAAGTAGAGTGAATTCTTGCTCTATTAGTTCCCACAAGAGCTGGTTGTTAAAATGAGCCTGGTACCTCCCCTCCCCATCTCTCTTGCTTCCTCTCATATTGTGATCTGCTTGCACCCACTGGCTGCCCTGCTGTTTTTGGCCACGAGTAGAAGCAGCCTGAGATCCACGCCAGATGCAGCTGTCCCAGAATCATAAGCCAAATAAACCTTTTTTTCTTTACAAATTACCCAGTCTCAGATACTCTGTTATGGCAACACAAAAAATGGACTAATGCACTAAGTAATGGACTATGCATAAATCCTTTTCACCCACTCCAGGAAAATATGGTAATAAATATATCTTGTAGTGAAAAACACTTCACCCCTCACTTGGAGCTTTTACACATTGAATTATACCATAGTTGCACTCTGAGATTGACAAGTTTTGATACTAAAATTTTCAAATGAGTAAACAAGTTCAGAGAGATTAAGAGAGATTAAGTGACTTGACTATGGTCAC